GCCACCGACACCACCGCCACCACTCTCTCAACACAACGTCACCACATCACTACGCGACATAACCTATACGCCATCAAATGAAAAGGTCCGCCTTGTTCATATTTTTGTACGACTCCCAAAAAAGAATTTTCCATTGTATTGGATATGCAATAATGTGGTGAATTCTGGGGAATTTGAATAATGTACCTTTAATTATTAATCTTATAAGTAATTATTGTATGTGATGCGCCAGCGACGTGCGGCCGAAGGCACTTCAAAACTAGAACGGAACAAATAGTTGGCATGTGACATGACAAGCAGTCGAGACAAGGATCGTATTGTTAGGATGAGGCGAGGGCAGACGACATTGTTTGTGAGAACATGCGTCTGCGTTAGTGATATAAGGTTACCATGAGTTAGCACTATAGGACGTCTGTGACAAGCTGTATTGCATATCGACTTTTAGAACGAGACAATTTATATAAAACAACTTTCAGTAAATCTAAAAGTAATTGTCTCATTTTAAAAATCGATTTGCGATACGCTTTCAATAATTCTGGAAACCCAAGAGTACAAAATTGTTTTTTTTTTTCTTGAATCATTCGAAAATCATGGAATACCTTGTTTTATGTTATTTTAAATGTTTGTACCAGGTGTATTTAGTATTTAGTTGATTAAATATGACAGGTATGTTATTTGGCTTGAGAAAACCATGGTTTTTACAGGTTTTGACGTCTGTTTTTAACTGAAAACATCTTCACCTGACAATTTGTTTATTAACAATGTTTTTATTTACAACACTATATAATTGTTTTGATGAAATTCCAAAGCGACAGTTCTTAGGCTAACTGATGTTGGTAGGGTGTGTATTTAAAAGGGCATTTTTAATGTAAAGAGATTGTTGTCAGATGTATAGGGCCTTTAAAAAGTCGTTGAAGGGATATGAATAATTCAGAGTAATATATTATAGTGTGTAAAGGTGTGTGGTTTATGAGATCTCCTAGCGAGGTAATTGTTACCACGCACAAGCGACTCGAGTTGTTAAAATATTAATAGAGAATTGTAGTTAAGCCGGGAAGTTAGTTTGTTATAACAAAATCTTATGATGGTCCAATTCTAACTTAGAGGAGGATTTTTTTTTGATGTTTGTTGAAATATAGATACTTGAGGAGTTGGACGTTGTCTTTCCCCTGCTGAGCGCTGACACTTCCAATGACGTCTTTCACTATTCATTCTTCCATGATCTCTGTCACTCCATACTTCTGAACGAACCTCATTTTGTTTAGTATTATTATATAACTTTATGTATACATGTATTCAAATATCTTTACGGTTCAGGTCATCAGCGCAGCGCCCATTCTTTTACAACCTGCATGTTGTTTTCTCCGCGGCGATTCATACGATGTTTCCGAGCCGTTTAAATATTTGAATACTGCTATACATGGAATCTATAGCAATTTTTATAGCAATATTAATATTTATATAATATTTTTTATGTATTGACTTGTTTATTTAGACAAAGTGATAATTAGAAATGTTGCCTTGAGACGCTTGCCTGTATATTTCATATAATAATATATGTTAAATGTATATTTTGAAATGTAATGTAATGGCAAGCGAAAATATTTTACTTACATGTTGTAAAAAAATTGTGTGTATATTTTTACAAAAGTTTATTTTTTCACTTTGTCTATCAATTAGTCTGAGAATAAAATCAATCACAATATTTATATAATATATATATTTTAATATTTACATATTTTTTTAATTTCTAAGTTATTTTGTGTTTTATAAAATTAATTTTCATTATTTTACATCACAAATACTAGTTTTAAATGTTGTTATGATTATAGGCGTTTTATGAATAGTTTGAAGTTGCCTGAAATCATACAACGTTTTTTCTCCTTTTTAAGTATTTTTATACATTTAATTCCACTAAAATTGTCTCCAATTTTCAATTTTCTATCAAGTCATTGTAGTGCCGCAGTAAATGAAATGTTTTATAACATTGTTGAACTTTGTAGGAAGTAATACATAACTTATGTTACGTTACAAACCGGTAAGAATTACCAAAGGAATTAGATATTTGTGTAGTCTTTTAAATGTTTTTTTACCATCCTTATTTCTCTGTAAATTCGTTTCACAGGGTTCTCGTTTTGTATTGATATGATCTATTCAAAATAACGATTTCTACTCGTAACTCTTTTAAACTTTATTTTTGTATAGGTTTTTTACGTTGGTATAACACGAAATTGTTTTATACTTTTTGTATCGGTTAAATTTGACTCGTGTGAGATTTATCTTTAGACACAATTTTACATAGGGAAGATTGTAAGGGTGTGTGCGGAAGGCACAGATTCACATCCTGGTAACAGGTATATTGCACACAACTGACTTCATGGAAAAGCCACCGCACATTATCCCCGGATACTCTCTAAACAAATGTATAGATTTTCTAATAGTTTATAACTCGAAACCTCCGTGAATACAAAATTTTGTGACACCAATAGTTTACGATTAGTTAAATAAGTATAAATGGCCGTAGACCGTGTTTTATTAGCATTTGTATTAGAAATTTTATACAAATATAGATTGAACCCGTCGGACAACACTCGCGATGTCTACACGTCGAATCTCTGGCAGTTTGGTAGTTATATTGAATTTTCTATTTTAATATATATCTATTTTAAAGTGTAAGTAAATAAATATACATGTAAATATATCAGAATGCGTGTTGTGCAGAGTGCGAGCGGACGCGGCTCCAACTTAATTCCAATCTCTTCGGTTGCAAGCCACGGTATATGTAGATAAATAAATTTGTATCTTATACCCACAATGTAAGGTTCACAATTGTTTATCGTACATTTGTATGAATACTTGCAACTGAATCCCAGATTCGCTACGTTACAAAGTTATTTCCGTTAGATGTTTAGGAGGAAGTGGAATTCGCTAGTGTATCTAGCGTGTTTTTGTTGCTTATTAATTTAAAAGTTCTTTTCTTACGTATTTATTGAGAGGAGCAGAGTAGACAATTGTACAGTTTGTATGATAGGGCGGCGAAGGTATACATAAATTATTGGCCGGTGGCAGCGGCCCGTCCGCTACTCACTGGTTACGCCTAGTTGAATATGAAATGTTTTAAATGTGTTACAGCATTTGAGAATATTTAATGATGTTGTATATAGTTTATATTATTTTGTTTTTATAAAACTACATTTGTACATAGAGCGGACAGGGAGGGGCGTGGGCGAGGCGCCGAGGCCACGCCCACGACGCCGACCTGCTCGAAGCACGATTTAAAAGAAACCACTCGTAACTTATCGTATTTGTACAGTTGTTAAGCGAGATTTGTAGTTGAATGAATTATTTTTAAGATTTTTTTTTGTTTTTAACCTTTTTTGTTATTGTGAATTTGTCAATTTATTTTAGGGAATTGGGATTGTACTGTACATAGACCACCATTTTGTCATATATAAGTCGGTAAGCGGTCGAATCTGATGATTGATGTGGAAATCAAATTTTCTAAATGGAGCAATCATTAGGAAATCGTAAACAAAACTAGAGTAATAATTGATATTAATATAACTTTATAAATAACTGTGAAAATAGGTAATAACAATTATGAATAAAATATTACATATTTAAAACCTTCTTTTATTTAATATTTTTTTTGGCAAAATAGATACCTACTGATGACACTGCCTCGTGCAGACGTAAGCTCTGTACCCAGCGTTACTTGGGTCATTCAACTACAAAAAATGTTTGTTTATAACTCATATGGTGAAAGTTGAAAGAACAAGACTACGTATATCTAGATATAATGCATATTAAAGATCATCTGACCAATCTTCCCTTTTACCCTGAGGTCCATTAAGCAACATTCAGGTGGCACCTATTAAAAAATCCGTTTTCACTTTTAGGAATCACACAATTCATAATTTCGATTTAGGGAGACAGCTTAAGACGACCCTAAACTATTTCTATATAAAACCACATGTAATAAAGCACAAACACAATGTTATAGAGGAAGTCAATAATCGTAGTATATTTTTCAACAATTTTTTATTTAATAAAAAGTTATACACTTACGACCCGCTATAGTTTGTCTAAATAAGATTCATGGAGGTGATAAGTACTACGTTCAACAGGATTTTGTTCTAACCATATCTCTTACAGTTGAAATAAAGAAAACAAAACCTTATCCTAAGGACGTAAGAGTCTTGTTCCACGCAAAATAAAATTAAACAGAGTGAGAGGGCTACAAAAAATGCTGTAAAAAATGTTTATTACTATAGTAGTAATTACAATAGTAATAAACATTTTTGTTAGTTGTACGTAGGACTATGGAGGTAATATCCATGGTTCTAGTAGTTCATGGAATATGTCAATGTCAAAGTCATTTTGAATCATTGATTCATTCTCCTGTCAGTGTCAGGTGTCAGCTTGCAAAAAATGTGTGCATTATTTATTTTGTTTAAGATTCGTTGAAACGGAGAAAAATATTCATTCAAACATAAATTATTACATTCAGAACATATCGTTTGCTTGCGCTGCCTGGTGTTACAAATTTGCTTCAGATTTAAAGAGTTATGTTTTAAGTAAAGTGAAAGGGAATAAAATAGGCGTTGTCCATTATATCAGCAAAGATGAAAATAAATGAAAAGAATTTGGGTGCATTTGCGTCGTCCACGACTCCAGTGGACCGCGAGGGATGGCTCGACATGCGAGGTGAAATAGGTAAAAGTTACCAACGACGATGGTTTACCTTGAAAGGAAACCTACTTTTCTATTTCGATAAGAAAGCTGACAAGGATCCTATTGGTGTAATAATACTCGAAGGTTGTACAATCGGTAAGTAAATTGTATGGATTTTTACGATAGATTCGTTAACAAATTATCAGTTAATGATGTATATATACATTGGTTTCGACTGTAATTTCTGTAGAATGGACTTACTAATTTGAAGTATTAGTATAATTTTCATTTCTGTATGTATAATTTAAGTGAAAGTAAATGTATATTTATGTAAGAATAACTCATTACCAACATCTACTCTGTGATTAACAATGCTACTTATGAAAATAGTGAATTCAACCCTCAAGTACATCCATGAGGATAAAATATATGTTTAATTTCAGAATTGACAGAGGAGGAAGCATACAGTTTTAAAATAGTTTTCCAATGTGAGGGAGGCAGGACATACTACTTGTGCACCAATTCACAGGCATCTATGGAAGCATGGATGAAGGCACTCGCCTGCGCAAGCTACGATTACATGAAGCTCATGGTTGCGGAGCTGCAGAGGCAGCTGGATGAAGTGCAAGGTGCATAGATTATCACTTTTTGTTCTTTATTGCATCTTTAAAAATTTATAGTGGTGCATGGTTCGGAAATAGGACCTATTTGTCATTTATGTTACATCTGGCCATTTATAAATTACAACTCTCAATTTAATTACCATTTCCTATTTTTAGTAGTTAATATCTTATAACTTTACATATTGATATTAAGTGTAACTTTACAGCGGAGGAGGCAGCAGAAGCTGCAGCTCTGATCACCATTACTCCTCCGGAGCGCGAGCCCAAGGTTCCCCCGCGCGGGCAGCGGTACAACCCCTTCAACCGTGTCCCTGATGGTGAGGCCAAGGATGGCAAGTCAGTGCCCGGTAGTAGACATCGTGAGTGACACGCTGATACCATGTTGATATTTGAATTAAATATAACTAGGTACTGACTATTTATTTGGGAATTTAATTGGTTTGTATTGTTTGCAATTGCAATGTTAAACAGAAAAGGAGAGTAAACCCAGTTCGATATTCCTCCATCAAATCCCACTTCCTATTATTGAAAAGAAAAGTATAGTAAGGGGAAGTAGAGTAAATTTATACACTAATTCTATTATAATTTTCGACTAGATGACTGATGCGGGTTTTGCATTTATATGAGAATATTTTACAACAGACAAGGATAGCTTGCGAGCGGAGACGCCTCGTAAGAAGGTGTCGTTCCGCGACATTCATACAGCGCACGGCCGCAAGATACTCGCGCACCGCAGCGAGTGGCGCGCACGACGCAGACACGCTCGTACTGCACCCACTGCGCCCTCCGCCGCCCCCGCACCCGCAGACGTCCCACTCATACAGCTGTGAGTGACGTAAGCTAGACAAGGATAGTGTAAGGTAAGAAATGTTCCTGATTTGTAATTGGCTTCCAGAAGGTTCACAATTCGTTTGTTTCTGTCTATGTATAGTGAGCATTATAAGGTAATGTGAGGCAATTTGGTTTTGTCATGTGTTTATGAATTTCTCTAAGGAAAATATTGAGTTTAGAATTTGGTTTATATATATTGGAGTACATTGAAGTCATTTGGTTAAATCTCTTTATGTAGAAAATGATATTTTAAATTGTTTTATTGTATAAATACTCGAATATGTATGAGGTAGTAAAATTAGTAACTTTTTTCAATCAATGAATTGTACATAAAGGGTTTTTTAAGCCTAGAGTTGGTATAGACGCTTAGCGTATTTAAGTACATATTGTAAATGTTAGTTATTTTTAAAATAGATATTTCTGATTTTTGTATACTATTTAGTACATTTTAGTAAATTAAGATTTATTGTACAGAAGAATAAAACATTTTTTTTGTATTAAGTATTTTATTTTAAAAATCTTTGTTATACAGAGCAACACTTTACAATGTAAAAACAGTTATGCACAAAATGTATAAGTCTAGGCAATGTGAACATTGTATAGCCAAATAAAAGAGATTAATTTAGTGAGGTTATAGAAAATGTTGTCGTTGCCCGCAGAGCACTCACTAAAGTATTATGACGTCCGTTTGGTATTTCATAACGCAAATTTTACAATAACTGAGCAAATTAGACTGTGGATGCTAGATACCACAGACGAGGAAGTTTATTTCATACCCATTCAGATGTCATACGCTCATAAATTAATTAAAAAACTTGTCACAACAGCTTATAGTCGAATTCAATTGAAATGAGAAATTGTAAAATATCCAAACTATTTTACTATTTTAAGGCTGTAATCACAGATTTAAAAGACTTGTTTATATCAACAATTTATTATAAAACATTCCCAGAATAAATGTTAGTGGCAGCCAATGAAATTTGTAAATAAAACTCCTCATTTCAATTGAATTAGATTATACTTGCTAATATACTGACAGTTTGTACGATATTGGATCTTAAGTGGGTAGCTTATTTAATTCCCTGACTATGAACTCCCCGAGTATGAAATACCACAGCATATTTTACAGTCGGACTATAAATGTACACAACACGTGAATAATTACGTGGACGAGACTTGCCCGGAAAATGCCCAGTGTGGAAAGTAAATATGGTAACAAACGAGTGAACACGCAGGTTACAGGACAGGGGAGGGGACTCGTGATAAACCTTATCCACTACAAACTGTGTTAATGTTTTAAAACAATAATATGCCTCTATATATCTTGCATGATGTTAGAAAACATCACATTTAAAAATACACACGACAAAACTTTTAAAATATAATCATTTGAAAGTTTGGAAAATAGATAGTGTTTTAAGAGAGAAACAGTAGTTATGTAAATGTTTTCTAACATCCTGCGATAATTAAAAAAAAAACGTGCCATAAAAATCCTTTAAAAAATTCATACTACACGTGTACTACACCCAAATGCATATAATATATGTAAATCTAATAAATCTACAAAAACAAGAGACATTAAACACACCAGTGACAGTGTGCCATCAACAAATGTCAAAAGAACTCATAAATAAAGATATATTTGGTAACGAACTTAAAAGATAAAACCAGTAACTAAAACCGGCTAAAACAATAGGGAAACGTTAGTATATACAGAATGTTACACGCTTCTAAAACACATCACTAACCTGAGTTTACAGCTAACGCGCAGGCAAAAACATCCTGTATGTTTTACAGTAATATTTTTGCTCTGCCCTTACAATACATGATTTAAGACAAATTCATGTGCAAATACACACCATTAAGTTATTAAATATTTGTTAAACGTTTAGAAGTTATAAGATAAAAGTAATATACACTTATTAAAGTAAATAAAAACAATGCAAACAAGTTATATACATTTTCGTGGTGGGTGGGAGTTAAAAGTTCTGGCCACTTTTTGTAGAAAAAGTAATTTTTGGTCTAAATGAAATACTAACTAACATAACAATTTATGTCACTGCTATAGATCTAAAGATCTTGTCAATACAAAAAAAGCCAGTTTTTATAATAAAAACCTTGTCTAGTACATTATTAACTTGACACAAAGCCATTTGCGTTAAAAAAGTTTGTAGGATACTAAAACAGTTAACTTTATAAGAAGCGAAGTGGCCAGGTGCTCGCGTGGTGGGTGCCTCGTGACGTAGCGTCCGGTTCCATCACATCCTACATGAAGAACTCTTTACGCCTACTATAATATACTTCGTCAAAAGACTGTGTTATCAAAAATCGACTTTAAGGCCATACACTTAAAGCTG